AAATCATAAACAAATTTATAGCAATTTTCTAGGCAAATTTGCCTGGAATTGTCTACAGTTTAAGGGATAGTTAATATCAAAATTTTCAAGAAACAGATTTGCATGTTGATTAGATACATCAATAATTTCTTTTTGTTAATTATTCTTATCTTTTAACCTATTATTTGCTTCATTTAACCTGTTATTTTTATTTAATAAATTTGCATTATCATCGGTTAACTTATCATTTTTTTCTTGTAATCTTTAATTTTCACTTCTTAATTACTCATTTTCTTTTTTTAACTTTTTATTTTTATTTCTTAATCACTCATTTTTATCATAAAGCTCGTTTATTATATCTTGGATATGATTTACTTGGCGAGAATTAGATATAAATATCTTAAATAAATAAAAATAAAAATTTATTAAAACAAAATAGCACCAATATCATTACAGAATTTTTCTGGCAATTCAAATTTATTTTGAATTGTTGCATTATCATCAAATGTTATTTGTAATTTTGTTAATATATTGTTTAATTTTTTATTACAATCATTTTGAAAATCTTTGTTTTATTTATGCAAATTATTAATTGTTTCTTGTATATGTCTTGCTTGACTAGAAGACATACTAACCTCAAAAAATATTTTAATTATTAAAAAAATATTGTTAATCTATAAAGATAACATTTATAATTATCTTTTGTTTTGTTTTGTTTTTTTTTTGTTTTGTTTTTTTTTTATTTTTATTTTATTTTATTTTTTTTTCTGTTTTTTTTGTTAATCAAAAACCTTCATAATCATGTCAAAGAAAAAATATTAGCGATTCTTAGAGAAAATAATATATATTTAAAATTTATTTATATAAAAAATAATATATATATATATAAATTATAAAATAAACATATATTAAAATTATTTATCTACGCCGATATCTATTCTTACTCCTTTTAGAACTTTTAGATGGTGACTTAGCCTTATGCACAGAAATATAACGAGAACTTGTACTCATTCCATAGAACCTTTGTAAAAAAATACCACCTAATAATGACTTGTAATTTTGCCATTTTTGTTTTATATGAATTGGATCTATAATCTTATATATATAATTTTGGTAAATAGGCTTCAACAACAACAGCTACATCATTATCAACTTGTTGTATTGTATAGTTTATAAACAAAAATAATACAAATAAAATAAATATTTTCATATTATTTAAAATAAAAAAAAAGAAATAAAGTTCTTTATATAATTAAATTTAAAATAATAATTTTTTAACAATATAATTCTTATAAATTATCAATGTTCTTTGAATGTAGTTTTTACGATGATATGGGATACCCATATTGATGATATAGCTTGGTTCTAACCTTATCCCAAATTGCTATAGCAAATGTATTCAAAAAATGATTTTGCTCTATATGATTGATATTCTAAATATTCTTGTTGGGTTTAAGTTGCTTCACAAACTTGCTTTTCAAGAAAAGCTTAGCAAAAGGTTTTGTTTTCAGTGGCAAGTTTGACTACGATATCCCAAATGCCTTGTGCTTATGAATTGACATGTGACAAGTTATATATCAATTAAATACTACTCATTTTTGGGATATCTTGCAAACTTAAAAACTGAATAAATATAAAAAACAAAATATTAGCTTTATAAAACGATATTTATTATTATTATTGATTGTTATTTAAATATAAAAAACAAAAATATGTATTGGGTTTATAAAATGATATTTATTATTATTATTAGTTGTTAATTTTAATATTTAAATAGCTAATCTTCTAGTTAGATTGCAGAAATAGTAGCTAGTGTAAAACCTAGATGGACTACTTAAATTAGGCACCCAAAAGGTGCATGTGTAGCTAGTTGTATCCTCATAAAATGGATATAATATCATAACTAACTAAATAAAGCTCGTGCCAATGGCCTAAGTGGTCATCTTAATATTAAAAAAAAAAAAAAATTTTAATGTTTAAATCACAAAAATCAAATTTATATTAATTCAAAAATAAAATATTTTCTTTAGCTATATTTGGATATAAAATTTCAATTAAAGATTTTTTACTATTTTTATTAATAATATTATTATCCTTATCTAATATAAACTTGTAATATCAGATGGTTTGTTTATATTTTTGATCAAGAAAGAAATTTTTATCTTTAGTTAATTTAACTTGTAAATAATCTACTATATGTTCTTTATTATCAATAAATATTAAAGATCTTTGATAATTCATATTCTCGTTATCATGATACCACCAAAACTTCTCTTCTTTCTTTAATTTAATATTTTCTAAAGTTCCTATATTAGAAAATTCATTTTCAGATGAGCTGTTTGAAATATTTTCTTGTTCTAACATAATTAACAAACTTGAAGAGCAAGTCAACATTAGCAACCCAAACCTAACAAAAATATTTAAGATATCAACCATATGGGACAAAGTAAGAGTTAGTATAGAGTAAGGAAAACGAATAACCAAACAAAATACAGTTAGGAGCTCTCTTACCTGATTGGTTGAAATTAAAGATGATTTAAATTGAAGGCAATATCAAAAGAGAGAGTTTATATAGTAATAAAGAGCTAAGCTACCAAAATAGAATTCGGTATATAGCATTAAATAAATAAATTATAAAATATAAATTAAATTTTTAAATTCATCCTGCTCATCTGTTTATGTAGATAAAATTCTAATTGGTCAGTTTAAATGACTAATTAGAGCTTTATTTATTTTATATGATAGTTATTTTTTATATTTACTACAAGATTATTTGTATACTTTTTACAGTCTTTGTATACGTATATTGAGAATATAAAAGCCTTTATTTAAATATTCAAGATCAAAATATTTTTTTTCATGAACAATAGGCCCAAAATCAAATTTAAATTCATCATTTTCCCATATAAGTACTTGCTCCAAATGGTCAAATTTTAAACACATCTCACAGATTTTCTTAAAAATATCTCACACATATTTTGTTTTAAAAGATAATAATTTTAAATTTCTGTTATAGAATAAATGATTTTCTAGATAAATGTTTCTCTTTTTGAATTTTCCAATATGGCAATATATCATTTTATTCTTATCTCATAGAATCTTGCTTCTTGTCTTGTCTTTGAAAAAAATCTATTTTTTTGATTTTTTTAATGTAAAATATGTGCTTTTTTTCTTTTTTTATAGTTACATGCTTATACATGTTATACATGCAATATTTAGATGGGTTAACAATTCTATCAAGATTTTTATTATAGAAATAAATCTTCCAAACATTTTCAGAATATGTTAATATAAATAAATCTCTGAATAGACGAGAAACTTTTTGCAATTAAAGTTGTTTTTTAAAAAATAATTGTTTAATAATGATTAATAATAATTCTGTTAGGAAGTTAACTAATTTCATCTTGATGATTATTTGAATAAGTTTTTAGTCGATCAATTAGATTGATCAACTAGATTAGTTAATGAAATATATGCTCGATAATATATTTGTTATTTTTATATAAAGTGATTTTTGTTAAAATAATAAATAAATTTTTAATATTTTTAATTGTTAATTGGTAATAAAATTCTAATTTTATTGGTATTGTTTTAAGCGTATTACGTCTGTTTTGCAATTCTATCATTTTGTTAAAGTCTTGTTCATTATATTCATATGAGTCTTTGCCTTGAAAATGACCCTACAAGATATTGTTACACAAGATTTTTATTAAGAAAAACATAGTAAATCTATTTTTAGAAAAAAAATTCAAGGCAAAGACCCTATATTTTTATAGATAAGATATTAGTTTTTCAGATTGCTGGATCATATTATAGTAATTTCTAATTTGATAAAAGATTTCACATTTTATAATATTGTAATCAAATTTGGTATACTTCATTTTCAAAAACACAAGAAATATTTAATTTTATTTAGTTGTTTTTTAATGAAGCCTTCATATATAATTGTTTTTTAATATAATAGAATATTCGCTCAAGAATGAATCATAACATTGTCAGCACAACATGTAGTAATAATAAAATGATCTGATATTGTTGTTATATAAATTTAATTTTGTATTCTGCAGTCTGTTTAACTTGTTTACTTTTTCATCCCTTAGAATAACCAAATCTACTTTTTGTGATTCTTTTAATTTAAAAAAAGCTATTTGTTGATACTAATAATCATTTAGTAGATCTATATTGCTTTTATTATTTATTCCATTTTCTATCTTTTGATATTTATCAAGATCTGTTATATTGTTATTCTTATTTTGATAGAAGAGGTTGTTTTGGCATGTTTTAATTTTACAACAATTGTTAAGAATTGTCACATTTGAATCACAAATTCAAGTTTTTTACAACTATCACAGGCATATTTGCCTAAATCTAAAATATTATTCTTATACTTGATATAGAGAAATCTATCATGCCAATAATTATCAAGTGATAAACACTATCACCCTTTTTTATAATTTCTAAATACTTTTTTTAATATAAAATCATTTTCTTTATGCATGTCATGTTTTTATTTTAACAAAATATACAATCGAGTGATCTATTACAATGCAATCAATACTTTCGATATTCATCATAACATTAATACCTTTTATCAAATACTACAAAAATGTTGTTGATCTGAGTAAATTTGTATATAGTTGGATTGAGCATTTCTATAATCATTTTTAATTCGTAAAATTGATAATAATTTGGGTTATTGATTCAATTTTTATATATGTGATAGAGATATTTGTTTGCTCTTTCTAGGCAATACTAATCAATTTGTCTTAGTAAAAGATTGAATATTATTATTGTGAGCTCATATGATAATGATTAAAATATTTTTGATTTGATAATTTTTTATTCAGTATGAAATACTAAATAAAATATATTTATATATTTATTAAAGTTATACAAATAAAATATTATTGTGATTTTTGGTAGATAACTCGATATTGTTCATGTAAATAAAATTTTATTCAGTATTAAATACTGAATAAATTATCTCTTAATATGTAGACCAACGCAGGCAAATTTGCCTGCATTTTTGTACTTTTTTAGCTCTGATTTACTTTTTTAAAATGCTAAAATATTTAAATAAAA